GAAAAATGGAATAAGAAAACGTGAATTAATTCACGTTTTCTTATTCCATTTTTCATGTTGGATAAGAAGAAAAAAACCGCAAAGCTATAAGCTATCAAGGGAGTTCGAAAAATCACTTTTGTTGTAAAATTGTCGATTTTTGAGCTAAAGTAAAATTTTCTCCTCCCATGTCCAGTTCCAAGCGTCAAAACATATATATTCCGACTCAATTCGACGAGCCCTATCCAACCACGTGTGACTCGTGGAGAAAAAAAAATGAGTGCTCATCCTTTGAATTATGTGCATCTTACTTATAAATATCATTTAGAATGTAATAAAATACTGAGATATCACATATAACTTGTCATTCTTGAGTACATTCTTGTATGACTAAAACACATAAAATTTACGTTTCAGTTTGACAAGCAGGAAGACTTTACTTGCCTAAATTTTAATGAACGATTGTAAACAAGCGAAAGATCCCTTTTTTGGTCTTTCTCGTGAGTTTCGCACTTCTATCATACAGAGAGATTGTGTTGTGATTGAGCATTTTCCATGCTCAATAAGAAGAAAAAAAATTTTTGTTAGATGTACAACTTTCTGAACTCTATTCAATGGTTTATTGATAAAAAATTCTAAAAAATGTTCGATACGAATAAAATCTAACATTTTCCATGCTCAATAAGAAGAAAAAAAATCAGTTCTGTGTCCTACGGCTGTTTTGACAAGTTCTACATGGTATTTTGAAAGACAAACTACGGATTTATGTATAACTCGACAAGAGCTACAAGATGCACATAGTGAGATTTTGTCGACTTCTGATCGTGGAAAAGTGGATAGAGTTGCGTGCAAGTATCCCCATGTACGATCAGCTCATAATCTTACATTTTCTAATCTGGACAGTTTTGTACAGAAACTACAATTAAATGATAACGTTGTGGTAACGATATAAGAGATTAACTAACAATACGTCCGATGGTTATTATTTGAATTCACTAATTTATACGAGAGGCACTAATGATGACTGATATCATACTGATTTTTCGTATGCAAAAATTCTTTAATTTTCACCACAGCTCGTAGCCATCAATACAATATTTATTAGAAGCTCTTAAACACATGGTAAAAATTGATTTCTAGGTAATAACAATGATGGTACGTGTATCTGGCATCATAAAAAAGGAATGTTCACAGATAAATTTCTATATAGATCAAATTATTCCTAACTATATGTCGATGCAGTTCATCCTATTCAAAAAAAAACTCTATTGTCTTGTCAAACTTGATTAAAATAATTTTCTTGCAAATGAATTTATTTGACAGATTTATATATAACAATGAAAGGCTAAAGTATGAAGAAAACGAATATTAAGGTTTATTATGCGTTAAAACAAAAAACTTTATTAGCGAATTTTTATTCTTGTCAACACGTTTTTCCTGTTAAAAAAATATTGAATAAATGAATCTTCTCTGATCTAGATGAACTCACTATCCTATATTTGGCTGACATGTAAATTATATATTGATAGAGTTTATTTCTTTGATTATCTTTTATTATTAGATTAATATAGATAAAAGAGAGAACTTAATGTTAGAATATTATACAATAAAGAGGAGCAAAATATCGTCATCTTGAATTAAAATAGAGAATTAATGGATCATCATAATTTAACCAGACGCAATAAATAAGAGTTAGTATCACAATTTCAGCTAATAATTATATATAGCCTTCTTTCTAAAGCTTTTTAAAAATACAGCATAGAGAAATTAGCACAAACGGGTGCATTATTTCTAGTTTAACTATTTTTCTGTCCATATGATGAAATATGACGAGAGATATGGTAAACATATACACAAATTGTCAATCAAAAATTTACTTGGAAAAAAAGAGTCAGAATAAATATTATGCCCTAATGACATAAGGCAGCAAACTAACATATCTATCATCCTACTAGATACAGTTTGACAATTCATAACTTTGGCAAAAAAATTTTTTTTAGAAAATTAGCAAAAATAAGAAAGCAAAATGGTAAACGTTTAGACGATGAATACTCAATAGACAAGTTTAATCGAAGTTTATTTGTGTATTTTGTTTATGTTCGATTTTAAACATCTTATCATTCTATTACAATTATTATTTATTGTAAAATGTCAATATTCATCTGATGACCAACAACATCTTCTCATTCGTACAAGTTCCGGTATATATCAGGGTCGTACGTTTCAATATCAAAATCAAACCATTTATCAATATCTTGGTATTCAATATGCTAAAGTAACAAAACGATTCCATCGAGCCGTACCTATTATTCGAAATGAATCAAATGTAATCTTGCAAGCTGATCGTTTTGGTCCAGTGTGTAAACCAAGTGGTTCATCTTGCAATTCACCGAATTTGTGCACAGTGGCTTATGGAATATTTACGAGTTTATCATTGGTGGACGAAGATTGTTTATATTTGAATATTTTTTTACCCATTACCACCAATACAAGTGAATCCTGGTCAAACTCTCAACGAAAAGCAATATTCATATGGATACATGGTGGTTCAGGTCAAATTGGAACAGGAAATTTATTTGACGGATCTATTTTTGCTGCAGTGGGAGATGTCATTGTTGTTACATTTAATTTTCGTTTGAATCTCTACGGATTTCTTTCATCGGGTGATGATCGTTTGGAAGGAAATCTCGGCCTCTATGATCAGTTATTAGTGTTAGATTGGCTATATGATAATGCTGATCAAATTGGTGGTGATCGCGAACGAATTGTGTTGGGTGGCCATTCAGCAGGTAAGAAATTTTCATATTGCTGTGCTGTTAGACAGAATTAATAATGTTAATTTTTACATTTGGGGGGTCCACATGCGCATTTTCTGGCTTACTCATCTTTGTCTCGTGGTCGTATTCGTCGTTTGATATTTCAAAGTGGTACTGCATTCAATATATGGTCACATATACCCCAAAAAATAGCTATTGAACGTTTCAAAACAGTTGCTATTGATAATGAGTGCTATTATACGTTGAATGAAAACGATGAAAAATTAGATTTTAGTAAAACATTAGATTGTCTAAGTAAAAAGGATTTTCAAACGTTAAACGAACATGAACATCACTCGTACATAAGTGCAAATCATACAAATGTTGTACATCAACAACCATTTTTAACATCAAATCAAAACGAAACCTATCTATTAGACAATACCAATTATTCAAAAATTGATATATTGATGGGATCGGTGGCTGATGAAGGTAACGATTAAAACTATATTCAATATCTATTTTAAGTTCTCTTTTGTTTTCTTAAGGTCTCTATATAGCTGTTGTTCCTATGCTCATCGAACAAGAAGATCAAGGAATATCAACGTTAAATTTGAGTATTGTGGATGTTGCTTTAAAATTTTTGGCAAATATAAAACCAGACTCATCATGTCTGTATCAAGATGCATTAAAATTATATCAAATTAATGAACATATTTGTTTAACCTTGTCAAATCCTGCTCTTTACGAGTGTAAATGTTCATTGTTTTTGAATTATTCAAAGCTAATTAGCGATATATTATTTTATAATGATTATCATCGTTATGTTGTTGAACGTTTAAAGAAATCGTCGATAAAAAAACAAAGTATGAAAGTCGGAAAAACGTACTTGTACAGTTATACTTATCATACATCACAAGAACATCCTTTTCCGTGCAATCTCTATTTTCACAACAAAGGCCTGACAGGACATTTTGGCGAATTAGAATATACCTGGGGTATCCCATTGTTTGAAAAAAATAAATCGCTTGTTCAACTTGATAAATATATGCCGATTGGCAACCAAGGACAACTGCCTTCAGCGTACGATTCAAATCAGATTGAGTTTAGCGAACAAATAATTCGTTATTGGTCAAGTTTTATTCAATTTGGTGATCCGAATGTTTTAAAATCAGCCAGCAGTCCGTATTGGAACGAATCGGTGACGAATAAGCCGATTGTGATGAACTTGTATCCGAAACAATTACATACAACATCATTTTTCGAATCGAAAAGTGTTACATTTTGGAAAAGGACTTGTCCGCTATTTACAAATAATACAAATAATGAAAAAAAAATCGTTCATGGAAAATCGTTTGTTGTATTGATTGTACTCTTTTTAATTCTTGCTCTTCGTTAGTATTTTCTGACATAAAGCTGAGTCAGACTAACAAAAAACTGCACTCTGTGATCCAAAAGTGTATTGATCATACTTAAAAGAATCTTTTCAATAGTTGAGGATAATGATTGGAACCAAGGCACATGAGTTTCATGAGCAGAAGTACTTAGTAAATCTGTCTTACAAGAGAAAGACTGATGACATAATTATATTTTCTGCATTCTTTTACGCGGATATAAGTCGTATGGGTGAGACCGATCTGTCTATTTACAATTTACCGACGACATCTGTGCAAGATATTAGTAATTGGTGCATCTCAAAGATTGTTTTATAGAAAAAGTTGCTGGATGTAAAATATGGAATAAACTGAATTTGACGCACCAAACTGAATTTGGAACGAGAAGGAAAAAAAGGAGAAAAATATTTTGTTTATGATTCTTTACAGGACGCAATGACTGTTGGACAAATCTGGCTTCGCCATGTAATTTTTCACCAAATCTCGCTCTAGTTTACCAAAAGGTGTGGGTTACAATGATGAAATGTGGTAACGTTGTGCAATTCTAACACGTAACTTTTCGATTTTTCTTTGACTCCTTTGTAAATCGCATTACTGGGATACAAAACTGTTCTCAATAGCTCCCATTTCTAACTAGCGTTTAACACTTAGTTGAGTGACGTATGACGCAATGTAATTTCGCAATGAATGCATAAATACTTGTCTCAAAGATGTTGTCGAATAATGAAAATGAAAAGAAATAGTTAAACACGACTCCTTGCATCATTTGGTCAATATATATGCAATCCTATATATAAATATAATATACTCGAACGAGTGAGTGTATCACTTGCTTTTAAATGTAGAAAATAAACGAAAGAGGTTCACCTCAAAAGTAGCGTTTGAAACAAAAAGAGAATATTATGGCGCATGCTTTAGTTACCAATAGCGAAGACAATGACGTATTAGACAATAGGGGAGAGGTATAACAACCGACTTTTTTCTTTAGCGAAATAGCTGGGTCATTTATTGTTGCTTTTCAGTATTCTTCAGATTATTTATCGAAAATGGCCACTGCGTCTCACACGACAGAAGGTGACGATGCAGCTTCATTGTTCGATACGAATAATGCAGCATGTGATATGCTTTTGGAATCACAGAATGTTGAAAAGAATGAACCATCTGAGGAAGTGCGACAATATTTATCGAAAAAGGTAAACAGTAAGAACTAAATACAACATTGAAGTGTGGTTCTTTTCGGTAGTCTTTGCATTTTTCCGCTGAAGAGATGCATAACACTTCTTTAAGGATGTTTTCATTACTTTTTTTACGCGACTTTTGCCTAATTTTTTTCGATCTTGTCTTGAAGCTACTTTCTTTGATCATTTTTCAGACAGCATGGGTCAGTCCAAATGAAAAACAATTTGACGCATTAGTAGGTTTTGTTCAAAAACGACTCGATGAAGGTCATGGTGAAACGATTCTAGAGATCGGAACTGGAGGTGAGTAAAGAGTGATCAAAAACCAGTGTATATTTGCCTATATTTTATTTATAATTTATTAGCTGTTGATTGCGATTGTCCTGGTTTGTTATCTGATGAAATGGAAGCATCAGTTGCCACCTTGACAAGTATGGCTTCTGTTCTTAATTCCGAAATTCAGTTATTACGTGAAAAAACACTAGTAAATAATACAAAATTCATAAAAGAATTTTTAATTAGGCGGCATATTGATGAAGAAGATTTTATGGAAGTACGGTATGTGTTAAAAAAAGCGTTTCTTTATTTATGTTAATATTCTTCTTTTGCGTAATTTAGAATCGCTGTTGTTGGAAACGTAGATGCCGGTAAGCAACCTGTTCTGTATTTTCCCTTCGCTTTACTTTTAAACAAACATTCATATCTTATCTTTTAGGTAAATCAACTTTACTCGGTGTATTGACCCATGGAGTTCTCGATGACGGTAGGGGTATGGCAAGAATGAAATTATTTCGACATAAACACGAAATGGAGACTGGTAGAACGAGTAGTGTTGGCAATGATATTCTTGGTTTTGATGCCAAAGGAAATATTGTGAATAAACCTGATACTCACGGAACACAAGCGCTAGATTGGACATCGATTTGTCAGAAATCGGCTAAAGTGAATATTGACTAGTTCATACTATACAAATCTATACCGTTTTTCTTTCTATTACGTAGGTTGTAACATTTATTGATTTAGCTGGACATGAGAAATATTTAAAAACAACAGTTTTTGGCATGACAGGTCATGCTCCTGATTTTGCAATGCTTATGGTAAGAATTTGAATTTATATTCTTAATCTTTATTATAATATTAATTGTTCTGTTTGTAATTCATAGATTGGATCAAATATGGGTATTGTTGGTATGTTTTATCATTTTACACTTATGGTCTATATGATACTAATTATGTTTCATATTTTAAATATTTAAGGAATGACCAAAGAACATTTAGGTTTGGCCCTAGCGTTAAATGTTCCAGTGTTCGTTATTGTGACAAAAATTGACATGTGTCCACCCAATGTTTTGCAAGAAACACTAGTAAGTAAAGTTTGAGCAGGATATCGCATTAGTTTGAGAGGAAAATCTGATTATTCTAAATTTGACTAAGCAGTTGATAAATGGCATGGACCAGTTTACATGGATAAACATAATTGTTTTTTCAATATATGAATCTCATGTGAATTTTTATGTGTAAACATTTTTTTTTGTAGAAATTGCTACAAAAAATTCTCCGCTCTCCTGGTTGTAGAAAAATACCAATGCTGGTTCAGACCAATGATGATGTTGTTACTTGTGCAACGAACTTTACGTCTGAACGGTAGTTCGAATTTTTATTAATATTTTCGAAAGTTAAACTAAATGAGTCTGTTCAAATTTTTTAGTTTATGTCCAATATTTCAAGTGTCCAATGTAACGGGACAAAATTTAGATATACTGAAAACATTTCTAAATTTGTTATCAACGCGTATGGAATCTTATGTAGATGAACCAGCAGAATTTCAGATTGATGATTTATATTCTGTACCGGTAAGTGCAAAATCTGCAATTCAAAACTGATGGTCAAATATGTTTTCTTATAATCTGTAGGGTGTTGGTACAGTGGTTAGTGGTACAACACTAAAAGGTGTGATAAAATTGAATGATACTTTACTGCTGGGACCCGATGCACTCGGCCAATATAAACAAGTTCAAATAAGATCAATACATCGCAAAAGAATGCCTGTAAGACAATGTCAAGGCGGACAAACTGCCTCATTCGCATTAAAACGAGTATGTTTTTGTATATTTGAACGTCTTAGCTGTTAAAAACATTCTGTTGTATGTATGTAGATAAAAAAATCCGAGTTACGAAAGGGTATGGTGTTATTGTCTACAAAATTAAAACCAGAAGCGTGCTGGGAGTTTGAAGCAGATGTTCTTGTTCTACATCATCCAACGACAATCAGCATTAAATACCAAGCAATGGGTTTGTATCCACTAAACACGCTCAGAACTTTTTGTTAATCTTAGATATTTTTTCTATTCATAGTTCATTGTGGAAGTATTCGGCAAACGGCACAGATCTTATCGATGTCTGTTGAGCATATGAGAACAGGAGATCGAGCGACTGTAAAATTTCGTTTTATTAAAAATGCTGAATATTTAAGACCAAATATGAAGCTAGTCTTTCGAGAAGGACGAACAAAAGCCATTGGAACAATATCCAAGCTTTATACTCAAGTGGCAGCACAGCCAATGAATTCCAAAATTAAATCAGTGAAAATGCAACAATCGACAACCGACGGATCTCAACAACAGTCTATAAAACGTGTCGATAATAGCAGTGATACATCAGCGGTCAATAAACGTTCAAAACAAACAAAACCACGAGAAGAATCGACACCACAAGAGGAACCAGCTGTACAACAATAACATATCTGGGAAATCTATGATTCATAACTGAATGTACTGATCCATTGCATTTCATGTCAATTTTTTTGGAAAAAACATTTACTGCATCCATGATTTTTTCATCATATTATGATTTTTTCTTTCAATACAAAAAAAGACAATTCAGGCAAAGCAAAGTCGATTTGTTTGTTTTCGACTCCAGAAGAGCTAGTACTGTGTACCTGTCTCCTCATTGTTATTTTTATTCTTGATTTATTTTTTTCATAACTATCAGTTATATTTTTTATTGGATTATTTTGTTATCTGCAGTACTATTCCGAAAATAAAAAAAGATCAAGGACGATTTTTCTAATTATCTGTGTGCGTATGAAACATTTATATAATTGCTTTGCTTTTTTCCTCTTTCAATGTGTTATCTGGCGAAAAGATTTTCTGTGCGATAAAAAATAGTGTGGTGATGGGTTTATTACTCAAAATTGTTGTTTGTTTCGTTCAAATGATGGACAGGTGTATATTTTTATTTTATTTTATTTCCGTTTTGTTTTTTCTCAATGTTTTCTTTCGTAAAAACATATCTCATTAAGATGATTAGTAATGTAGTTTATTACTTAGAAGATTTTCAAATTCCCAATGGTAGGTGCTATATCTCTCTTCATAAAGTAGATTATAAAGATTGATTTGCAAATTAGCGTAAATTGATTTAGGGCATTTTCCTTTCTATTAGACTGTGAAAAAGTCCAACTTTTAAAGAAAAGTGAGAGAATGTTATGACAATAAACCATTGCAAATGGATGTACATATAAATCATGTTTGTTTTAGATATGAATCTAATATTGGTGGGTCGCGGTGTATCTCAACTCTAGGTGTTTTTTTTGTCCGAGAGAGAGCTATTTTTTGTCACGAATTGTATGCTAGTTTGGCTTTTCTTTATGAGATTAAGTTTCTTTGCAAAATATTGAACGTTATACTTCGGAACGGTGATATAGTTGATGATAACTCCGTGATATTAGATGGATACTTAAACTAGTCTTCGAAAATAATTATGCATGATCACTGTGATACGTGCTATGATATTCATTGTTCTGATCAATCATGTCCAATAGTACATTGTTCAAATGGTTGCTATGCCATGTTTCATCAATGTAAAGGAAATGATCATTATTTACTGTGTTCAAATAGTATTGTCAATTGTTTAAATTATTCACATGGTTGTAAATTAACATTTAAACGTTCTCAATTGAGTTATCATTTACTACATTGTCCGGCATCCGTCATATGTTGTACATTTTCACATATTCGACAATTGAAATCAAGTTCAAACATAATTTCCAAGCCGCAATTAGTTGATATTGAACCGTCTCAACAACTCGTTTCTTTAATAAATGATGGTGAAAGTCAGTCTATTGATGTAGCTACAGCTATACGTGATAGTATATGGTATGATCATATTCGTGAACTTAATGAGGCAAAATGTTTAAATCCATCTTATAATTCAAAAGAAAAAATACTCAATAATAAAGATTCTGTTATACGTAGTAAAAAATATTTATATATAACAATACCTAATTGTGTTTTAGCGTATAAAGATGGTGTGATATGCAGGTAAAAATATGGATAATAATAATAATTTAAGTAGTCATTTTTCCTATTCATTTTATTATTTCTAGTACATGCAAATTACATTTAAGACAATTAGAAGAAAACGAAGGTGAACGTTTAGCGCAAATGAGTGAAGGTAAACAATATATTGTCATACTTGATAGAAAATAATAGTATATCATTTTATTTATTTAGCTGATCGAAAAATGATGGAAAATTTTCATCTATTAAACTCGGCTTTATCATCAGATTCTGATATACCGTCTTTAGTGAAAATGTCATCAATACCCATGTTAACACAAAATGGTGGAATTGATATGTCAAAAGAAGTACCAGATATTCCACCTCAATTATCATCAGAAAATACATTTAATAGTCAAATTATCAGCGATTTTTCTTCATCTTTTTCTTATCCTTATCGTTTAAATTATTTTTCATCATTAATAATTGAACACAAACAGCTAAAAAATAAATTATTTAAAATAACGAATTCATCGTTATTTAATGACTTATCTATCCGACATACAACACCTAATGAACATCAGCAATATCAAAAAAGCAACAATTTATCTTCACCTGCAAGTTCTTCATCAAAAATATTTTATTGTAATACACTATGTCGTCGAGATGAATATAAACAACACGTACGTAACATCCATTGTAATATTCAATGTGAAATGGATTCATGGTTAATTGTACGCTGTCCAAATACGCAATATGGATGCACAATCGAATATGAACGTCTCGAACCTTATGTTAATGATCTTTATAATATTGAAATTATATTAGATGAACCAAATGATGCTATTGCTTATAAATATACTCAAAAGTGGACATCACCGATATCATCAACCATCAGTAGACCCTACTATGACATTCAAAATGAGGATGATACTCAATATCTAGTCAATCTACCGATTGAAATTCTATATCAGATATTAACAATGTTAGATAGTTTATCGTTGAGAAATTTATCACTTGTATCCAGAGTAAGTTTTGTCAAACTTTAATTTATTGTTAAAAACTTATGCATATTCTATTTTAAAGTATTTACGTGAAGTGTGTCATCAGTTATTACCACAAAAAGGTATCGTTATTTCAGAATACAAACGTGTCCAACGACATGGCGTCTACTCATGGAAAGAAGAGAAGAAGGTAATTTAACTCGCTTTCATCCTTTGTTATAAATATCGCTACACTTATAAGATGATGATAGGATATGTTTTTGCAGATTTTAAACTTGTTTTTTATTTTCTCTAGCACTGGTTATTTTCCAACGTGACATCTTCTATTCGAAAATGGCGTTTTAAAGATGCAAACTCCTCAGACTCAAAGCAACATCCATCATTGTGTGAACATTTAATGTCCTGCAAGTTTGGCGAACGAAAAGAGTTAACGAATGAACGATGGCTGTTACCGTGTAAGCCCCCGACCAGAATAGAAGATCAGACGATCTCTTAATGTCCCGCTTGAAAGTGATATTAATAGGGTTCATTATAGAGACAACTGATGATGGCAAGACAGAAAAAAATTTCTTGATTTTGCACACACAGGTACATACATGTTAATGAACTTCTATTTCATTCATTGTTAATAAGCAGAATGACAAAACAATATGACAATTCCTACCGTTAACAGTTTTTATTTTATTCTATATTTTTTCTCCAAATAATGCGCTTATTATTTTTATAAAAAAGAGTTTACTCCACTCGCCAACCTTTGACATATCATGTTATAATAATCGACACATTTTCCTTACCCATCCGGTTCTGCCTCTATATCATTACTTGATTTTAATTAAAATCTCTTTTTTTTTATATTTATTGACTTGAATTTGTCTGGCATGTGTTTTTGTACTTTTACATTATTATTCTAATACAATTAACTATAAGTAATCTCAAATTTATTAACAAACAGTTTAGTTATTCAGCAGTTCTACTGTAAAGGTTTTTGCCAGGCCGATATGAGCATAGAAAGCTCATACGAATGACTGTTACATGCTGTGTACTGTTACGAGTGTGAATTTATAATAGCTGGTACTAGCCTTCTATTTCTACTATGTGAGAGAAGATGAGATCTAAACGAGATAACATTCTAACTATGAATGTCTATTGCAGTTTTTTTGTTTGTGTTGAATACCCTTGTAGTTGGACTTTAAAATATCGTATTTTCTGTTCTTATAGACAAATTTTTTACTTCTAACTTCTTTATGTGTGTGTATCGTCTGATATTAGGTAAATTGTCATGTTGTCGTTATTATTACCTCGTTCAATTTCAAGATTAGTTTTTCGACAACAACAGCAACAACAAACTATTCGTTCATTATTCTCGTCATCATCGAGTTTAAATTCATTCAGTTCAACACCAGAAGAAAAAAATCAAGCTTTAATCGATCGAATATTGCGAGTAGATCATGCGGGTAAATAGTTTTTTCTGCGACTCATCTAAAAATAAATGAACAAATATTTCTAATAGGTGAGTTGGCTGCCGATCGTATCTATGCTGGACAAATGGCCATTCTAAAAAATTCGGATGTCGGTCCTACAATTCAAGTATGTTTCAACAGCGTGATATATTTAAAAAAAGAACTATTAACCTGTCTATTTATTATCAGCACATGTGGGATGAGGAAAAAGAACATTTGGCTAAATTCAATGAAATGATACCAAAATATAAAGCACGTCCATCAGCATTATTACCAGTATGGAGCGTAGCTGGTTATGCATTAGGTAAGTTACTTTTCGATAAATAATTATTTATTTTTTATAAATATTGATTTTAGGTGCAGGTACAGCATTACTAGGAAAAGACGCAGCAATGGCATGCACAGTAGCTGTTGAAGCAGTTATTAGTGAACATTATAATAAGTAAGTATCATGTTATTTTTCTTGTAAAAGTTGCTTATGTTTTGTTTTTTTGTAGTCAATTACGTGATCTTATGGAGAATCCGAATCAAGGAATAGACAAAGAGTTAATTAGCGTAGGTTTATACATCTTTGTCATAAATTCTATTCAGAACGAATAAACTTGTTTTCATTTAGACAATAAAAAAGTTTCGAGATGATGAAGCAATTCATCATGACACGGGCATTGCTAACAATGCTGAACAGGTTCGTTATTTAAAAAGGCAGGTTTGGACAAAACACATTGTTATTATGTTTTTAGGCACCATTTTACCGTAATTTAACATCAGTGATCAAACTCGGTGTTAAAAGCGCAATTTGGTTAGCAGAAAGGATTTAATATAATACGACCCTTTTTTTACAATTTTTTTTGTATCCATTTCTTTACTATTTTGTTACATTACAATTAAAAAAACACATCTCAAACCTTTATCTCTTTATTATTATTTAAAAATTTTGCACTGAAAAATGTGAATGAGAATGGCATCGTATTTAGAGAAATGTTGATTGATAGTACTAAGCCACTGTTTGTTATTTAGAGCGGCTAAGAAAATGCGTTTATCTGCGTTGTTGTATACAATGTGAGACTTGAATGCTATGTTCTTGTGTGATGAGTATTGTGTATCTGCCAACGTATCCTTTGTATAAAGTGCATTGCACAAAAAGATTTAAACTGGATAATATTGCGAGTGCTACACCTACGAGAATAAAAAATCAGTTAATTATGGCTTTTCAATCACTGGCGTTGTTGTAAGCAGAATGAGGAAAGACTGTTATCAGTTTGAAACTTTTCCTTTAACGCAAGTATTTGTGGATGCATATGACAAGGCAGGACTGCGCTCAGAAATTTCTCAAAAAGGGAGGGAGGGGGGAGGGGCAACCACTAGAAAAATAACTTCTTCGCTCAGAGATCCTTCTGTGTATGTTTTTTTTCAAGAAAGGAAGCATGATTGCCTTGAATACGATCCTTTTTATGACATGATGTTAATGTCAAGCAAAAAAGCCTCCCGTATATTAAGTATTTTAAGTTTCTAAATGCCTAGTAGTGGCGTACAAAAAAAAGAGTTTCATATTAATTTCTAAATGTAATTTTTTACATGAGTTCTTCCATATGACTTGTGTTGATAGGAAGTAATTTCGCGTCAATAGCAATATCTATTACAGTTCTTTTGAATAAATGACAATTCCATAATTAATTTGAAAGTTCATTACATCTTGTAGACAGTGTTTAAAATTATTATTTTGAAGCATTTGCTTTTGCTCTAATTGATGGTAGTTTTTCATAGTAATTCAGTGCCGAAGAAGTTGAAACATCATACGATTTTGGCTCATGTTGTTGTTGTTTTGGAGGAGGAGGACGCCATTGGTATGCAGTTCGTTGTTCACTGGTATCGGTTAACGATGATAATGAATTTGCTTTTGCGTCTGTTATTAATTCATGAAAATATCGACTTCTTGACATTGTGTCTTTTTTCTGTTTTGTTGCCGATGGTATATTAATTGATTGAGAAAGATGTGGTGGAAGCAGTTCACTATATGGAATAAATTTTCTATAATTTGGAAAACGCTCACGATATTCTGTTGATGTTAGACAATCATTAGTTTCTGCCTCAAATACTCTACTCGGTTGTGCATGGTAAACATATGGTCGTTTTGGAAAATGATTCGGAAAACAGAGTCGATATTCTGAATTTACTGATTTATCTTGATAAGATTTTGTACGTGAAGGTGGCCTACTCGAAAGATGCGGAAGAGTTACATGTGGAACATAATCTTCTTTCTTTGGTGGTTTGAAACGAGAATTATATTCAGTAACAATGCCTTCAATTAAAATAATAGATCTTTATGATTAAATAAATACTCAAAAATGATTGATTTGACACTCACTTCTTGACTCATCTGATCCTTGCATTGAGAGTAGTCCATCCATTTGTAAAGGCATTTTTGACGTTGAATTATCTTCTGATTAGATCTTAGTTCTAACTTGATTTCATTATGAGAATGTGCTCTTATTTCTCAATTCAAAATCCTTTGTTTAAAAAAAGTAAATAGTATTCGTTAAAAACACTTGTCTTTGTCTGTTAGTGATTTCTTCTCATTGTTCACTTGACAAAAGTGTTTGCTTATATTTATCGCTAAACAACATTTAACATGTCTTTTTTCTGATTCGATAAAAAAAAAAAAAAAAAGATGCAATTCTTATTTATAAATATGTTCTTCACTTTTTTCTTTTGAAATATAAATCAGGACATGGACTGAAAAATTGTTTTAGATACACTTGAGAATATTATTAATCTTGTTTAACGTTTTCTGCTTGCTACATTTTATTTTATTTAATAGTATATCGTATATATTTTCGAGAAAATCAGGGAAAAAAAAGCAATCTCATTTACTTTTGAACTTCTATGTTACCTTCTAACAAAAAATGACTTTTATGATAGTATATACTTTCTATATATAATTGAGTTGTATAATTATTAGTTATCTACTATTCTAAAAGTTTTTAGAATATAAAAAGTAATTATTGAAGTGAATTGTTTAAGGCGTTCATTTTCATCTAATAATTGTTTCGTATCTTTTTTTCTGATTTATTGGATAAAAATGTTTATGTAACATACAAAACAAAAAAGATAAAAATACTAATGACGTAAATTTTTATAAAAAACGTTTTTTTTTTTCTTCTTATATTAGTTAATGTGTGACATTTTAACTTTTTTCTGTTATCATAACGGGAACAGATATACATGCTAATTCTCTTCCTTTACCATCGATTAAATAGTAACGCATTTGATTTATCATAACCTGTAAAAAGAGAATGTTGATGCTAATTCCATTAAGACATGAGAAGAATAGTGAAAAATAGATTGCTTTTAACTTATTATTGACTATAGTTGATTTCCCCCTTCGATAAATCAGTTGAGAGTGTGTAGATATTGATAAAAAATAAAAAAAGTATATGTACATACCGATGGATATGTTGGTGAAACATACATGCTATTTTGATATGTATATTTAAAATTTGGAGCTAATGGACATCCTAATAGTGTACATGCATCAGAATTTGGTAATTGAAAATCATGATCAATTGTTCCAATTGTTGCCATCACTTTTGCACGAACACGAAGTGCTTTTTTTTCTGTAAATAAAATGAATAGTTGAATTATACAAGAGAAAAATATAATCTAAAAATACTCACTCAATTTAAAATCAAACACTAACTTTGCATCATTTCCTTTATAAAACGTACAATATTTTTCACTACATGGTGTATTGACAGCAACTTTAACTATTTCTCCAACACTCATTGCTAAAACAAAGATTAGATTAAGAACATGACATGTTATATGTATATATATCTATTGGTATTCTCTGAATTGTTTCTATATGATATATTGTATAGTCTTCTTATAAAAAGTGAATTGTAGAATTTCACTATTCTATCAAAAACCATTATAGCGATTGATTTCAAAATTGTGTATGATTATAGCTTGAACAATTGATTATTCAAGAAGTTTCAATCCATTTGACTCGCTACTTTTCGATATATTCTGTTTTTACTTTTTTTATCATTAAAATACAAATAAATTTTGATTGAAGTAGCATGAAGTAGTCCAGTTATGCTAGAGAAGGAAGCTAAGTTGATTTTTTTTTTTTCTTACAAAAAGATCCAAAATGTCTGATGTGTACTGTCAATCGTATGTTTCACTGAGTGATAGTCAATAAATTTAATATCATGCATTACCAAGAGTTCTCAATACATTTTGACGCACGAATAAGATGTTGATTTTACTTAACTCAAAAGTTATTAAATTAGTGTATTCTAATGATAAAAAAGTAAAAATAGTACAGTTAATGTTCAAGCTATATTCAAAGAGACAATTTTGAAATCAATCGTCATCATGGTTCGTGAGATACAGAGTACTGGAGTATTTTTGTCAACTACTGTAATTGAAGTATTTAGTACTTACGACTACATTGTTTAAACGGTGCTTGTAATTGTGCACAATATACATAATGCATAACACATAAAAATGCGAGAACAATCAGATGTTTTCCGTCCATGTTTGTAGTATTTTTGTTAAAGAAGTGAATACAATTATCTTTCTATGATGTCTGTCCTTCTTCTAACTGTAAAATTGTACGAACTGACAGTTATCGCCGACTATGTACTTTACTATTTATTATCTGTTTTCGCCAGATTTTTCGTTCTTCTTCTCCCCTTCTGTATACAATCATTCTTGTCCATCATTGTTATTCATTTACGTTGTTGTCTTATCTTGGCGTAAAATATGTTGATTATTTTACACATTTGGAATTGAGAATAAAATAAATAGAAAAGATAGTAATAGATTAAAATTCAAACGAACAAAATTGATTAGAAAATTAGAAATACTAGTAGTTTGTACTTATGTACATTTAAGTACTGTACTACTGTTATACGTAAAGTACTTCGTACTTTTTGACACAAAATATTCCCATTCATATGCATGTCCAGTATGGCATGCACAATCGCACCATTCGATAAAAATAAACAAGAATAGTATAAAAATTCTAAAGAATGCATACATTCCCTTACGTATCAGAATCGATGGCTTATTTGTACTTCAAAAAGAATATACGATATGCAGACTATTGTGAGAAATTTTTAGACCGAAGTTTCGATTAGAATTAAATTCTTAATACAAAATCTGAGATATTTTCCTAGAATTTGCGATGTTCCTACATTTGTCTGTTAACACTGAATGTATAACTCAAAATCCGCACCTTTATACAGTCTATCTTAAAATTTAATATTTTCTAGTAGTTCATTGAAAGTATACACAACTCGATCAACTCAGGAATGAGTTCGGTGCATTTTGTTCTGTTCGTGAGAATTTTACCAGACATCGGTGAAATATAATAATATTTTAAAATGTTTGTTAACTTCAAACTCGACATCATCGTATAAAAGTTCAAGTACGATAGGCAAGAAATAATTTATCTGTTTGGCACTAGCCGAGTGTTTATCCTAAAATACCAAAAAAACAACTTTTAAAAACATTCTGGATTCGGCACCGATAAAAAGCTGTTCGAAAATTCCTTCGTCTTCGCAATGTGAAATTTCGAAAATTTTCATCGATGCTGATCATTCTGCTCACAGTCTACCAGTGAAATAAGATTAGTTCTTGAAATTTAAGTCTATAATCTGAATATATCGCTATTCCAGTATCCAGTGTCTGATATAAAGACTCATTAAGAGGATTCTATTTCGTAATATAGGAATATTTTTCTGAAATTATTTCGTGCATAACGAACGAACTTCTTTTCACCGAGTAAACGCATAGAATAGAAATGAAGACTAATTCAATCCTAAAAGTGTATCAATTATCACGAAATAACGAGATAAGCAATTTTGCCTATTGGAGAATTGTATTTCTAATTTGTCGTTAGAATGAAGTTTAAAATCATTTATCAAGAGGGCAACCACTACAGCATTGATCATTGTTAACAATCAGTTCTTTAAACACTTTTCGTTCGATTATTTGTTCATTTTTCTTAAATTTGATTTTCTAAAAATTTACTTAATGTCTAAATTAAATTACTCTTGAAATGTAATGTGTACTATGCAAAACTCAAATTGAATTATCTTATATATCTGAGTTTTTTTCTCCTTCTCCTTCAAGCTCAGATGGATTGTCTCATTATTTCTTTAATTCCTTTAATGACAAAAGTAGTTTAAATACACCTGTTATAAAATTCTACAATTTTTTTCTTGTTTTAGATGGATGTTTTAGTTGGCAATACTAAAAAATATAACATTCCATTGAGCCACTTTGAACAATCATACATTATAAATTGTACGAATGGTAAAGAATTAGAAAAAATTTACAAAGTATTAAAGTATGCCTACTTACCTGTTTATTTACTTGAATAACAGTGACATTCTCTAGTTTTGTATATGTTGATTTTCTTTCTAGAAGTGGAGATGAAGGAAAATTTCCACAACTAGAAGCATTGACGCTTGAGAGAATAGAAAAAATCAAGCCAAATAGGTAATTATCGTATTTTCAGCGTTGTAGCTTTTTTTGTTCATCAAATAGTAAAAACTAACAATTTAAAAGTAATCATTTCCAAATTTTTTGTTATAAACACAGCCATCAATCATCCAAAGTGGTTAACTACTCTTAATATACACGCGGCATATCAGTCAGGAAGTCACATTACTACGGTGGCGGCAAAAATTTTATCTTCACACAAATTCTTTTTTTGCTTGTTTTGATCATAACTCGATAACGAACAAAATCTTTTGACTATCGGTTGCACTAAAATATTGTCTGCTCTCTCTAGTATAGTTTCAGATAAAAAAGTTAAAAATATTCGCTGTTGCTCTTTGTAGGTCCATTAAACTGAAAAGTGAACTTTTTCAGGTTGCCAAAAATTTTCTGTACAGTTGATAAAAATCTTTTTTTACGTTTAAGTACTGAAAAAGGATGAAAATTACATTAGTCAATTGAAGAGAGCGCAAATTACATTTCAGTGAAAAAATAATTTGCAAAGTGGTTTCTTTTGGGTGAAAACGCGACTTTAAGCCGAACTTGCGATACTCTTCAGTTTGACTGCTCAAGTCCAGGAATGAGTGGGTGATAAAAAAAACTCTGATTAAGCCATTCGAAACAGGGTCAATTTTTCGGTTAAAAGTTGGATTAGATTTTTCCATTTATCTTACTTAGTTTTTGACCTGTATCGGATGGTTGATCAGAGTTTTTTTATCACCTGGAATTGAGCAATCAAACTGAAGAGTATGGCTATTTTGGCTTAAAGTCGCGTTTTCACCCTAAAGAAAACAACTTTTCAAAATTATTTTTTACTAAAATGTAGCTCGTACTCTCTTCTATCGACTGATGTAGTTTTTAGACTTTCTTTTTCATACTGTACTTCGTTAACGAGTTATGATGAACAAGAATTAAGAGAACGGTGTGTACAGAAAACTTTTGCCGCCACTCTAATTTTGATTTTATGGTGTATCTCTCACTCTGTACGCATTATTTATTTTCTCTTCTCAAAACGTCGAATTAACTTTAAATTTAAAAAATCAAATTTACAAAGTACGCTTAACACTAGAACGCCCGGAAATTTTCATGACCTAGAACGCCCAAAGCGGTCATTTTGACCGTTACTGTTTTTTTTAAAAATGGTTCTGAATTAAAAAATGAATTAAAAATTCTGCAAAAAATAATTTTTGTGGGACAAATTAAAAGTTATGACATAATTTATTTTTAAATAAATTGTATGCAGTTTGTTTTATTAAGGATAAAAATCACAAAACGGTCAAAATGACCGCTAAGGGCGTTTTAGTGTTAATAAAAGCTGCTATGATTATAATAATAATAATAATATGGCAAAAATGAACAGATTAAGTAATATTATTCGTTTACTGTTTATAAAAATAGACTTAATTAAACGGTAGCATAGTTCAGCCTGTTCTTCCATAGTAGTTTTTGAGAAAATTGTATTTTTATTGCTTCAGTTCTTTATTGCGTGATGAAAAACCACCGTTAAACACTTCATTTTTGCCCGAAGAGGAACTGAATAATTTCAATGATTTTTTAAACACAATGAATCGTAAACAAGAAAATGGTGTTCCGGATACGACATCGACGATTCATTACCCAATTCGAAGTTCGACTGGAATGGATGTAATACTTTGTTTCCGTACTTTTAATTAATAGGAAAACTTACTATTATTCGTTTCTACATTATAGAATACAATACACAACGTTGGGAAACAAATATCAAAGAAAAATAGTGCTCTTCCTCGCAGTTATGATGAATGGGGAAAGTAAGTCAAGAAGAATGTGAAAAGTAAGAGGAAATGGCAGATTTTTGTTCTTCATCTAAGACTTGATAAGCAACTTGAACTTGACGATGATACTGATGAAGATGACAAAACAAGTTCAAAATCTCCAAATGGAATAACAAAGTCTGATAATATATCGTCTGTTACGAGTCAACATAACGGTAATGTTTTAAAACAATGTGCATAAATGAAATCAGATTTTGTTTCATTACAGATATAAATGAACAACATCATACATTGGCTGAAGAATTGCGTATTCAAGGAAATACGGCTTATAACCAAAAAATGTATCAACAGGCATATGATTATTATACAAATAGCTTAAAATATAACAAAAAAAATTTATCATTACACAATAATCGTGCAATGGCTGGTGAGTAATCATCTTTTCAGGATTATTTTTTCTTTAAATAGACATTAAATTAAAATTGTAATCTTAAGATTAGAAATTAGTATTAGAGTGAGTGATATTAGAATGAGTAATGCCCATTTCTACTTTTCAATCTACGATACGCAAAGCACATAAATTAAGATTGAAATATTTGCAGATCCATTATTTCTGAAATAGAAAGATATCATTTTTTGAAGCACAATATTTGATTTTAGGTTTGAAACTGAATAAATACGATGAATGTATTGCTGATTGTAATGAAGTTTTACATGCTGACAACAGAAATATTAAAGGTAACACAAGAATATTCAATTTGATATTAAGTTTTTTTAAAAAAAAAATTTCTACAGGTTTATATCGCCGAGCACAGGCATTTTATGGTAAAAAAATGTATAATGAAGCAATCACTGATCTTCAAAAGTTACTATTGTATGATTCAAACAATAATGAAGCCAAAGTATTGTAAAACATTAATCAATGAAAAACTAATTAATTTGGATCCTTTTTTTATTAGGAGTTATTAAATATTGTAACAGCAAAACGAGATGAATATGTAGGTGTACAACAACGGGGTGGTAAACGTCTTGAAATAGTCGACGATGATAATGATATACTTTCAGAAGTATATATATTACTACTTTTCTTTCTTTCGATGATTATGACCAAATTTTATTCTAGGAGATTGACACAGTTGGGCGAAAAATCGAAATTAAAGCTGTGGAAAGTGAAGATGACGATGAGGATGATGATGATGTTGCGAAGGTTGATAGAGATGGAAAGATTATCCAGGATATCGATAATAATATCACTGCTCCTATTGTGTATTTATACTCTATACTTCTTATTTCTCAAAACATTCGAGTTATTTCAACCTTTTTCTTTTCTTTAGTTATTCGAGTAATCAACAACCATGCATTGAACTCCTTGCCGATGATGATAGTACTCCCTCATCATATGTGACCGATAGAAAAAATTTATTTAATAATGGATCAAACTTACAAACAAGATATTCTAGCGGAGATGGAGTTGAAGCGGATAATGAGGCAGAAGACGACGATAATAATAGTCTTGATTCTGATGGTCTTGGTGAAAATTCAAGATCACCTCGAAGTATGAATGTGTCACCAATAACAACACCACAAGACCAGATTGATCAAAGTATTTTATTTTCACCAGTGCCAGATGATGATAATAATGAATCATTTGAAGATGATATATATAATCCAAAATTGTTGCATACACAACAAAATGAATACGATCCAAATATTTACGAAGATGAGCGAGAAACAGTTCCGAAAACGAATCCGAGCATGTGGAATGTAAGAAAAAATGTTTCTTTAAGTGTGTTGATATAGAATTAACTACCCTCAACAGAAGTATCAGTTCACGACAAATGTTTTCGAACTACAATAGTCATTTTATAGTAGAAATATGTCTTAGTAGACTCTTCATCTTTTTGACTCGATTTCATTTGAGAATTCTCAAATTAAAATTGGTTAACTTTTCAATAGATGTGATGAAATTTATTTTTTAAAACCAGAGAATGGTATCTTGTAGACCTTATTATTATTAGTATGGATAATTTGATGTTAGCATTATCACATCATATTATTTCATAAAAATATTGTGTTCTATGATGAAAGATAGGATAGATTATTGTTTTGTAGTTGAGCTTTTTCTCATTCTCAATTATCTTGAACGACCAAACATGACAGTTATAAATTTGAATAATTACATTATTTATCGCATTTCAGGATACGTTTACAACAGTCAGTTCAACGGATGCACCGTTGGATAATGACGACTTTGATGATATTGATAGCGGTAATGATAGATCGACGATTTTATTTACTGATGCTGTATCAAGATCAAATTTCAGTCTACACATACAACATTGGTTAAGAGAAACAGCGTATGGTGCTAATTATTTACAATCAGATGAAATAAAACGATTTATGACAGCATCCACAAAACCTTGGTCACGACAACAAATACCATGGGATCTTGATAAAATAGATCATCATATAAGAAATTTTAGTCGTCTAGGCGATTTTCAAAGTACGATTGATGCGTCTAAGAAAATGTTAAGAAATGGTTTCTTAGATTATCATTATCATACTGAACATATTGTTGAAATTTTATGGACATGTGCCGATTCATATGCAAAATTAGCTAATGATCGTTGTGCAATAGAATTTGCTAGTGAAGCATTACAGTTTAATATAATTCATGGACAATCGTTAATGTGTCGAGCAAAAGCATTTCAAAATGAAAACTTGTGAGTGATAATAATTACTAAACTAAAACTGAGAATAAATGTCTTTATGTTGTTTCAGCCTGCTTTATGCATATTCAGATTATTCTAAAATTCCATCAAATGATCCAAAATATCAATTAGCATCAAGTCTTCGAGAAACGTAAGTTTTTTCTTAACTCAAATATCTATATTAAATTTATTTGTGCTTGAAAATTAAATCTAAATTTCAATTTTGACTTCTTGCTTTTTTAGAGTGAAAACAATGCTTAATGAAAAAGAGCCAACGTGGAGAGAGAAACTTAGTGGTTTAACTGATGATCTGTTTATGTTGTATATTAAAGAAAAACATAATTGTCCATCAACAACTGTTGAACAATATGAGTGGTATAGAGCATATGGAAATCAATTGTATAATAATGCATGCTACGTGCTTGCTACAAAATTTTATGATAAATGTACAGAAATAAACAAGGAAAAACCAACAGCTTATTCAAATCGTGGTGCTTGTTACCTCAAATTATATGAAGTAGGATAGTAATTTAACTTAGATATCTTTTTTTTATTATATTTGATTACTTCACAGCATCAAGATAAATCGTCTTTCTTTTACTTTTAACGCGAACCTCTTATACATCTTTCTTGTATTAGAAAACTAAATATACGATGATATTAATATAAACCATATTCTAACGATATACATTTAGTACTTCTAATATTTTATCTTTTAAGATTAATTTTACTTTTTTTGTTCATTTATTTTTGTTTTCTCGTTTAGCCATTAAAAGCAATCAGTGATTTTGATATTGTTTTAAATCATGATAATCGAAATATACGAGCATTATATCGGAAAGCATGTGCATATAAAATGTTAAATAATAATAATCTATATTTATCGACATTAAAAGAATATTTGAAAATAAATCCTACAAATCAATTGGTTTTAACTGAATATTACAAAAGTCAAAAAATGCAAGTTCCAAGACATCTTAGACGAATAAGAGCAGCATTCAAAAATCCTGAACTGGATCTACAACAACAACCACAACAGTTGTCATCAACAGTACTAATGAATGGTAACACTGACACAGAGAATTTTCTAACATTTAATGAAATTGATTCTCTCCGCAAAGAGGCTGATAATCATGTAATGAGTCTTTATGAATTTTTACAAAAAATTAATACGACAAAACCGTCTGATTTAAAAAATTACTCAAAATTATTATTTCATTTAAAACCAGCGACAGTCAATATACAAATTGGTAATATATCTCCAAAATTACTAGAAACAATTCTTAAATATTTTTACCACTTTATTCGTGCTGAAAAACAACAACAACAACAACAGCAGAATAATGACACATTCTCATATAGTGAATATTGCTTCAATATCTTGTATGAATTGTTATCTATACAACGATTTGACATGTGTTTATCTATGTTAGAGGATAGTTCTAAACATTATATAAATGAATTAGTTGCTTATTTTACTTCAACAACGACAACAATCGATCGTAAAAAATTGAATGAATTAAAAAAAGGATTTAAAGTAATTTAGACAAAAACGTCTTTTATTCTTCTCATACTCACGATTCCTTAAAAACTATTAAGATGGATTTAAGTTTTATTCGTGAAACCTAAATTTTTATTCTTCTCTCTCTCTTTCCTTCTTGAAATAGCTAAACAAGATTTATGCATGTATGTCCATGTGTACTACGTTGTCTTTCGAAATTCCTGCGCGTGTTTTTTCTCTTTTTATATTTTCACTCTATAACTGTAATTTTTTTCTTCGCTTTTGTGTCTTTTCTAATAGAACAAGCAAAAACTAAAGAATAACTGAAGAAGAGTGGCGGTCGTTAAAAGACTATACAATCTGTCTTAACTTTGAACAATTACAAACTGTTATATACATTTTACAGAATAAATTTAAAGTATCAAAGTTGGATGTAATACATAATTGTAGATATTTAAAATATGATGTTTATCGTTTTATTTCATTTTATACCGTTGAGAAATGATATCAATATTTTTCACCAAGTTTATTTCTTCGTTTTTTTAATGAAAGATACATTTTACCTTTTACTCGTCTCCGTGTTTATATTGATCGACCTTTGACTGTAGAGTACCCGATTATTTAACAGATGCGGTGATATATGAAGCGACTCAGAAGTAGATAATGGGTTATTTCAGTTAACAAGATAGAAAGTAATACAATTTTCTCAGCAATCATATTCTCTTTTTTCCCAACATACGCCATAAGAAATTGGTAGTATTGAAGAAAATTCTTTTCGACCATTTAGCCAATTTCATGTTGTTCTAACGTCACCCGAATTACATCAGTCGAGAAGATTTATTCAATGGTTATATATGTTCATCACTGTTTACATTATTATGCAATTTTTGTAGTTCAGATTTCCATTTTGATACTTAGTCAAAATGTTATGTAAGTTAATACTATTGTTAACGAATTACAAAAGCATCCTCCGTTTTTTTTTCGTTAGTGTCAATGATGTTGTGTTTGAGTTCTTTTCATTGACCATCTGGTTTCTGGAGGCTACGTCACTTTCATCACTTGACATCTGCAAAAAAAATACAAGATTCTGCTCATATTTCTGCTGATTTCGAATGTCATATTGGCATTGGAGAAAAATCCAAAAATGGATGGTTAAAACTGAAAAATACGAGCAGAATTTGGTATTTTGGGCTCTTCTTTTAAAAAAATTACATTTGTATTTTCGTATTTTATTATTTCGTATGTATTTTCACCGCAACGACAAAGAATGAAAGGAAAAATGACGTATACTTTTGTTCTCCAGACTGTGGGGCATAGAATCGACTAAAGAAAATGTTCTATGTTCTATCTCTTAACTGAACAACCTAGATAGTTTTGCGAATACCCTATGGTCTTTTTAAAGGGTCTGCGTGGGTCTACCAAATCATATGGGCATTTCGATTCAAAGCTGATCAAACATTGTTCTTATACTCAGTTTTTGATGGTGAATCCGAAAAAAATAGTTTTGAAATTTTAATAGAATGAAAAAGGTGAAAATTTTACTTTTTTTAAAACAACAGCGTTTACTAACAAATTTGTGCATTTTAGTATTTTAAAATTTTCATTCTATCATAAAAGTAATTAAAACCATCCTTTGCTCACTTACCTCGACGAGCTCTATTCAACCATGTATAAATAAGAGAATACATATAAAGAAGCTTAAATTTTGAATTTCCGACATGAAATTCTGAAGTTGGATTTTTAGTTTTATGGTCGAACGTATTTAGAGTAAATCACTAGTTGATTCTGTCATTGATGATTCGACTAAAAATGAAGGACGCTTGCTGAATGAACAACCTAACTGAGTATATTGAGGCTGACATCGATAATGTCAGTTAGCAGTACTTCTTCTTTTATAATGACGCTAAACATACAATAAAACGTTCCTATCAACTATTATGCATCTCAGAATATAATACAGATTGCCATTTTTTGAATAACTCACAAGGGAAGTTCATCAACTTGAAAATTGTTTGCGGGCCAAAATCCAGTTGGTCATAGGTTATCGACGGTCCTGAATCTGAATATCACCATGAGACCGGCTGCTTAAAACCAGGTTTCCAGAAACCTCAAAAAATCCCCAAAACTTTTTCTAAATAAGTCATGATTGTAGCCCGCGAAATTAGGATCAAAATGAGACATCTCCCAGCTCTACACGACCTTTCTTTGCAAAGTTATAGAATTTACAGGATGAGCCCTAAATTCCTTTTTCTTTCTGTAGCTCTGAGGTGACAATGAACATTTAGGGCTTTTCTTGTAAATTCTATAGCTTTGCAAAGAAAGATCGTGTAGAGCTGGGAGATGTCTCATTTTGATCCTGATTTCGAGGGCTACAATCATGACTTATTCAGAAAAAGTTTTGGGGATTTTTTGAGATTTCTGGAAACCTGGTTTTATGGAAAACCAGGTCATGCAAGGTCTAGCAGCCGGTCTCATTGTGATATTCAGATTCAGGACCGTCGATAGCCTATGACCAACTGGATTTTGGCCCGCAAAGGATTTTCAAGTTGGTGGACTTCCCTCGTCAGAGGGAAATGAAGATAGCGACCTGTGGTTTTAAGTTTTGGAAACTAGACACGTGAAGCTCACTTTCCACAAGCAAAACGGGTTTTCGAAAAAACTTCAGAATATGGTTAATTTTGCCCACTAAACGTCATTATGAAAGCGAGAAATTTGAAAAAGCAATAGTTGTTCAACGGTTGTCTAGAAGCCTTTGTAGAAAACCACAGAGTCCTCCAGAATTCTTTTATACGTAGAATATAAAGCAGCTTAGATACTGTACATCCTGAAGATTTCAACTGGCTCTGATGTATTTTGAATGAGTTATGAACTTTTCAATATTAGCTGAAAACAGCCGGAAAAAGACTAGTTTTCGTAAAACTTAAGTTTCGTTAGCTTCTAAAATCTTTTTCTAAAAACAGACATTGCCACGAGATTCCGCATAGTCGATAACCTATGTTTTCATCGATTTCTGATAGTCTCAAACCTATTGAGGAGAGTCCCAGCCCTTCGGGAAAAATGTTCGTAGCACCTGAACCATGGTTTTTGAAGATGTCGCTTAGTTCTCGTTTTGTAGAGCAGACTTTGGACTATCTATCTATGCAAAAAAATCAATAGACTGCTATTTGAGTTCGAAAAACTCCAAGCTAGTTTTCCAAAACTTCTCTGGAAAACGACCTTCGGAAATTTTTCCGAAAACCGATTTTGCTTGTGGAAAGTGAGCTTCAGGTGTCTAGTTTCCAAAACTGACAACTACAGGTCTCTATCTTCATTTCCCTCTGAGTTATTCAAAAAATGGCAACCTGCATTATATTCTGGGATGGATAATAGTTAGCAAATCCAATATAATGAAATTTTATCACCACTCGAGTTATAATCCTTCTTGATGATCAATATACGGATATGCATATGTATAAAAATTTCTATTGTTAATCCCGAAGTGTTCTAAGAATATTTTTGGTTGATATTTTTGTTTCTTTAAAGACGTATTTTATCATGATTCATCATCGTTCATTAGTAATAATTCCTCGTCTGCCCATATTTAGTAAAAAAAAATAATGATTGTAGCTACAGTAGAACAAAATAATATTTAAAAACAGATAAAAAAATAACAGAAAATGTACAGAAGTAGCCCGTTATAAACAAAATAAAGACGATATGTTGGTATGAAGTTATACATAATAATTTTGAAATGAATAATTTTATGTTTAAATTATTTTAACCTGATGTGTTTGAGTAACAAACAATAACAATAAATACACAAATTATTTCATTTTGAGCGAAGTGGATATGTCACAAATAGTGTGATAATACTAAGTAATGAAATATAGTACTGTCAATAATACGAGATAAAAATCTATCTCAGATTGGAAATTATTTACATAACATGGATTATCAATGACTTTAATTAGAGGATAAAAAGTTATGTTTTTTTTGCTTACGAATCATTTTTGCTAACATTGTAAATGCTTCGGTTAGACCATCGCCTGTTAGCGCACAAGCCGGAACAACATAATAGGTATTCTCTGGCCAAGATAATAAATTTAATTTTTCTGCAATTTCAGATGATTCAAGTGCTTCGCTATGATCTTGTTTATTCGATATGACAACTAATGGGGCATTTTTCATTGAGTCATGTTGATATATTCCTTCTAATTCCGCTTTAGCTAAATGTAAACGTTTTTTATCCGTAGAATCGACTACAAACACAAGTCCATCAACATTATCAAAATAATGATGCCATCTAAAACAACAAAAATTGAATTGATTAATGTCATGACGAACAGAAATAATTATACTATACGAACAATGTTCTCAGATGATCTTGTCCGCCAACATCCCAGACAGTAAGTGTGATGTTCCGAGCAGGTGAAATTGTTTCAACATTGAATCCTGTTAACAAAAAAATAAATAAATGAATACAAAGAATATTTTAACAATTATTTATCTCACCAATAGTAGGTACGGTATGAAAATCCTCAGTTTTTTTCATTCGATAAAGAATAGTAGTTTTTCCTAAAATAAAAATTAGAAGTTAATTACCAGTTTTATTTATCAGATTGTATAAGATCATATTAAAGTACACGATGAACACATTGAAGAACTAAGATAATGGTAGAATTTAAACTAACTGTAACTGTAAAATTAGCTGTAAAACATACCAGAAATCATTCGGTGAAAATTGGAGTTTGATTGGATGGATTTAGTAAACGACTGTAAAATTAATTTTTTTCTCTTATATTCAAAATTAAAACTGTATTTATACAATCGATGATATAAGTAAAATTTTTTAATTATATTAACAACAGAAGACTTGTTGAGACTGCCAATTCACACTGGGCTTCTAGGCGGAAATTTGGCCAAAAAACGTAAGTTCACTTTTCTCTCATTTTAATAGCATTATATATAAGGTGCCCGCAATTCAAAAATGCAGCACTATCTTAGCTTTCGGTCGAAAGCTACATATTCAAATACTCCTGAATGCGCTGATTCCGAATATCACCTTTTTATTCGAATTTGATCAAGTTTTTGTGGAGAAATTCTCAAAATACTAAGAGCACCGAGAAAACAAAAAATTTGCATTACTCAGAGAAAACTTAAAATTTTGCCCCCTTCCGTTTACTGTAATTTTTGGAATTTGATATATTTGGATTCTCCATCAAAAACTGAGTCTAATCGTGTACCTTCGAGTCACAAAAAACAAAATACCTGTGTTCCACAATTTTGACAAGAGTAAGCATTCCAAAAAATGAGCTACCTCTCTCGCAAACCTATCTCCTCCCTGGTTTTGAAACTTTTCTCCGATCATCATACGTCACTCGAACCGCCATTTAAAGTTGAACAAAAGTACGCATCGCTTTTTTCCTGATCCTCTTCTCTTGCTGAGAATACCGATTTTTTCCAAATCAGAGGCAGCAAAACAGGAATCGCACTCCTAAATCACCCTTTTCTGCACTATAATTAAGTTATTGTGTAAAATAAATATCATATTCGGAATCAGCATCAAAAACTGGATCGAAGGATTTACATATCAAATAATTTGGTTAATCATATTTTTCTGAAATTTAGAAAGAGCGAGAAATTACTTATTTAGCGAGAAATATTATAGAATTTGCTAGAGGAATAGCTCACTGAATTTAGGTTCCATTTTTCGTCCAGTGTGAAGGAATTCTTGCTAAGATGACGACGTATATTTCAACTGTTTTTGTTATATTAAGGCCTCACTATATACATTTCTTTCGTCTACGGTTTTGACATTCATCCAAACTTGGCTCATTCTTAATTGAGATCACTTTTTTTCACTCACTCTCATTTTGTGCTTCCCGCTCTGTGATGTTTCTTTGATGTTAATTTTTATGTTACATATTTTATCAAAAAACTGATCTCAGTTAAGAAACCTTGCCAAATTTATATTACAGTCTCGCGTGGAAATATGTATGAGGCACTGCTATTATGAATCAAAATCGGTGAAAATCAGCCGCAATGAAGTTTTGAGTCAAAATACGAAGTAGAAATATGATTTTCTATCTTACGTACTCTTAGTTTAAAAACGTAGTTTGTTTCTGGAGGGTAGACTAGGGTCAGTTCTGCGGCGTCTCATTACAATCATTTAGCTCTTTCAAATGCTCAAGGCTTTCTTGAGTCACCTTGATTTTAGCTTATCGTTAAAATTTCAGTCGCCATCGCTCACTGGTTATAAAAATGGGTGAAAGCCCGATTAGGTATTATGTTATGATCTACAAATCATTTTGCAGAAATTTTTAGAATGAGATGACGAGCTATAACGAGCTCCTTAATGTAAATGAAGCGTACATAGACTTTCATACACTATAGATGAATTGTTTCTTTAAAAATGGCAAAGGAAAATGTTCTATTCTTATTAATAAAAGGTCTGACCGAGCAAACGAGACAGTTTTTGCTACGTGCATTGGAAAGCAATTCGGAATGAAAATGTAGCTGGTTTTATGCGAAATGATAATTAGTCAGATGTTTCTTTATAATATGATCGACAAAAAGCACGCAAGTAAAAATATGGGTTTTCTTATGTTTGAGCATGAAATTGAGCTAGCTCATCCGCTATAGAAATATGAGCAAAACCCAGAATGAAAGATTACTTAACCCTAGAGAAAATATAAAGCTCTAGTGTAAAATTGCCACTTTTTTTATTGTCTACTTTCTGCTTCTGAGAAAAATTAAGTTTTTCATGTATAATGCGGTTACAGCTATTGTAATAAAATAGTGCAATGTGAACTTGAATAGTAAAATCTACACATAGACTGTACCCATATATTCTCAATTTCTTTATTTTTTTCACTGTTGTAGCAACGATATAATCCATCTTTCTTAAATAAAGCCCTAGCCCTACTCTACTCCGCCGGGTAAGGTAGGATGAGATAAGGACATTCTGCACATCTCTATTGAGCGCACACAATATTCTAGAGAAGTGAAATATTTATCGATTCTTCCGATACATTCTTATTAATAATTAATAATTTAAAATCTTGTGTATTTCTCATGCGTTTTAGTCACACTTTTATATGCGAAACGCGTATAAAAAGAAATAATTATCTGCTCTGATCTTGAGATATTGTTCACAATATGGGCAAAGTGACTTTTCTCCTAAATTACTTGTTGAAAACTTTTCTATTGTAATAAAAATTACGTGAATGTGATATATTACCAGCATTATCTAATCCAAGCATTAATATTCTTTTTGGACCATCGGCCGATAATTTTTTCATTACTTTTGACATCATTCGACCCATTCTTTTCACTTGGTTTGATCTAATAATAATATGTACAGATAATGTGTATAAAAGTATTAACAAAATAAGATTTTACTTAAAAGATGAAACATCTGTTACAATTACTCAAATAGTCTTTTATTTTCTCTTATTCTTTTACATCTCTTAGTCACTATAACAATTTCTAGAATTACTCACACGATACGTAATTTTTTTATAAACCAACTAATAATAGATATATACTTCAATCTATGAATCTGTATATTATAATATAATGACACACGTCGAAGAAGGAGGAATGAAACCATTATTTTTTTGCTTTTCATTGTTGTTCGTACTTGTATACATCCACATACCTTACACTACATAGATTTTCAAACGCCTTCTAAAGGTAAAATAAAACAAATAAGAATATGAATAATGCGTGATGATAATATGATTTCGGGAAATTCTAGGAAAAAGAGTGGGCAAAAGATATTTTTGAACACCAAAGTTTAATACTTGTCTACAATACAGTTTTACGATTAAACTTTAGGTATGTATGACACAATATTTCTAGCAGAAATGAATTTCAGCAATAGTTGTTATTCGTAATGCTGTTGCCAATTTATATGATAATTTCTACGTTATATGCTCTCCAAATGTGAAAATTTGGAGCACAATTCAAACTAACAGTTTAAATAGAAGTGGACTAATTTCATCAACGGTGTATAGTTAATGATTTTTTAATTTTCTAATAATGGTTAACTAAGCCGACACAATTTTGTACATGTTTGTTTGAAACAATACTATTGTGATCATTTCGCTTGACAAAGAGTATTATTCAGCTGTTAATATCATGTGAATGAAAAATCTCATATTAAACCAATGTATCAAAGAAAAGTGAAAGAACAACTAAAGAAAGTTTCCGTGACCCTTAAATGTTGAACTTGGTAATTATATTTTTATACTACTTTTGACGTTTTAGTTGTTAGTTATTCTGTTGAAAACATTTTATTCTAGAAATAAGCAATGAATGACATATATTAGTCACACATGACTATGACGAACACGTACATGTATATTTTTATTAATCTATCTCTGCTGGAAATATTGTGCAACACCTACATAAATTTTAGTCTTGACTTTAAGACAAGTTTTAGAATTTGATGCTCAAATTCAAGTATATCAGTACGCACAAAATGTTTCTTGCCAGTTAGATGTAGACGAAAATTTGTGGTATCGCTCGTTAATACGGAATTGTAGGTATACTCAAAAAGTAGCGACTCGCAAGTCTTTATATATACTAGACAGAACTAATCCAGTGGAAATTTTTGTACTGACATTCTGATAACGTTCAAATTGCATACCAATATCAAAACAGAAGGGCACTATTAATCAGTCAGAAAAACGAGTAATAGTTGATACATCATATTCATTACATATGATTACATCCTATTACATTTTAAAATTTTTATGTACATTCAAGAGTAGTAGAGTAACAATTGAATACTGAACTATGTGTTTCTATTGTTAACTGTAACGGACACCCTTTCAGACTGTGAGATGGATTGAACAAAGTAAAGTCTTTATATGACCAGAAAAAAGTAATAAAAAGAAAATGTTCATAAAACGAAGGCTAATACGACACAAACAAAAAAAGTGTACGCTTACTGAATGTTTCAATTTTCAACAAAGGACAAATTTGATTAATGATTTTCGTCAATAATGCATTGACCAACATTTTGAGTTGGTTAGCACGCTAAAACAGGTCATGAACATCCAGAAACAGGGTGATCTTTCACTCTAGAAGCTCAAATATACTTATTAGATCTAATACTATAACGTTACTATATGCTTTTGCATAGGTTATTTTAAACTTATTTTTCTCCACGTTTAAGATCAGAATTATTTGAGTACCTACCTGCACACTCTGCATCTAGGAAAACTTGTAGATAGTGTACGATTCAAATACATTTCAAACTATTTTGAAGAGGTCCGAAGAAAAATAGTTATTGGTTAGAAGGAAACACGTTTTCTAGGATTGTACTATATGTGGCGTTTTTCCAGAAAATAGCTCGGTGTAGAGTACAACTTGTGTACTTCATTCTACCATAAAAAATGAGGATGGCTACCTTCAAATTGATTAACTTTTTAATCTGGCAAGTTGCCACAACATGGGCTCATTTCATAGTGAGTGAATCTTCTTTAGATAAACATTTGAATGAAAATATGAAATTTGTTCTTTTTTCTCGTTCTTGCTTTGTACATCTATCTTTATATGTGCACGAAAGGAGAAACAGATCAAGAAGAAGAAAGAAAAATGACATAAAACAAAAGAGGAAAAAGCAGCATTCTTTCAAGTTTGATGGTGAACTAAGTTAAAATCTATAGTATTGAAACGCGCGAACTCTCAATACGTGACCAATGACTAAAAAAGCTCGGGTAGTCCGACGAGATCTTTGCGCAGTACAACGTAATCGAACGCGCTGATTCCGAATCTGTAAAAATCTTGAAGACCTTTTCTCTAGACAAAAGAACATCAAATTTTAATGTTTTCTTCCTCATGTAATTTGAAATGAATATTTTTATTTATCAGTTATGAACTAACTTATTTAGTACGTGATTATACATTACTATATGGTTTGGACTTAACCTAGATACAAATTATATTCTCAACTGAGATACAATCCATATTTAAATCCAGTATCTCAGTTGAGAAATCAATATTTCTACAAAAATATTTGTTTCTAACTGTGATACAATTTTTACACGTGTGTTGAAACGTGCAATTGTACAGTGTACGTACACAGATCTGTTATTCAATACTGAATGAAATGAAATTAGGCATACGACGTATCTCTACTGACTATCAGAAGAATTATTTCCACATTACATGGTCAAATATTACCATGTATTAAATTATTATCAACTAATTGCATGTATGCAAAAGACGTAACAACAAAATCAGTTCTTATTCATTGCTCTCGACGTTATCATCGGTACTTATGTCTGAATAATGTGCATATCACCGGATCGAAAAATTTTAAAAGCTTGTTCGATCATGACCGATTGTAGATTCGTCGTCGTCTCCATGGTTAATTATGTGGTACGCAATAACTTTAAGATTGGGGTACTTTATAAAAAAATTTCGCATGGTCTTGCTCAAAAATTTTTCCAAAAGTTACCGTATGGGACCAAAGGCAAAACGATGTGGAAAATTTTTTCTAAGGTACCCCGATCCAGAAGCTATCGCGTACCACATAATCAACCATGGAGAAGACGAATCTGCAATCGGTCATGATCGAACAAGCTTTTAAAATTTTTCGACCCGGTGATATGTTTTGTGAAGGGCATCTAACTAGTTGTATGCAAAATGGCGTGAAAGTCGCTGAAATTCTTGTAGATTTTGTAGAACTATTGAATAATAGCCCTTTGTATACTGCACTCTTGCATGTTTCAACCGTTGAAGTTGACACGTGTGCCGCAGGTGTCAAAATTGTATCTCAGTTAAGAAATGAATATTTTTGCAGAAATATTGGTTTCTCAACTGAGCTACTTGATTAAAATATGGATTGTATCTCAATTGAGACGTTATGAGGGTAATTTTGATTAGAAACTTGCGATATAACTCTATCGTAATATAAAAGTTATGGCGGTTTATTGCAGCCTATAGATAAAACGCAATATCGAATAGAAAAATTCATAACTTTTGAATGAAGCAATAGTGGCCCAAATTGCTTCATGTCTTATAGAATTTTTGCTAGCCCACTATATAGGATCTATGGGCAAAAGATCCTTGAAATCGGAGGTTGACATCTGAAAAGATTCCCCTATAAGTCCAACGACGACATTTGCATTTCTTTTGTTGAAATACAGTTTATAGAAATAGAATATTTAGTCCTATCCAAAACCGATAGATTTTTAGCTCACGCTGTAACATGAATGTATTTATTCCAAAATATGAAAAGGAGCTTGCCAAACAAGCGGCAACAAAAATTATCTTTTATTTTACGTATATAAAATCGTCTCGATTTCTAACATAGTTACCATGTACCGATTAACAATGAATATAATAGTAAAAAAATATTGCAAAATAACTTAATAAACTCAATAAGCATGCACCAAAATACAATCGTTTCAAAAATAAAAAATAAATATGGTTTGATTTGATTGGTCAGTTTTAGATAGCAAGAGGTAACAGTGAAAGGTTAAAAAGAAGCAAAAAAACATAAATTTTATTTTATTTGTCATGAGATATATAAAAAGTAAAAATTATGAAAAATACTCTACAAATTCCTTCACAAATCTTCATGTTCATATTCATCCTTCATCGTAGTCGTATTAACATCCAATTCATCATCAGAATAAATGTCATATTCATTGTCTTCAACATCCGAAAAACTTTGCTCCATCTCATCATCTTCATTTTCATCAATTAACATTGTATTATTCTTTTTTCTAATAATGAAATCGTCAATTTCATGCAAAATATCAAAACATTGATCTTGACGCTAAAACAAGTATATAATCAGAACGTTGAATATTTAGCAACTTTTCTCCTTCTTACATCATCTATCATCGTATCAATTTCTTCGATTTCAATGTAACCATTTTCATTTGAATCAATTGCATCAAAAAACTACATAATTAGAATTAGTTATATTCGTTGAATTTTAAATCACAATGAAATCAATTACTTACTTCTGCGAAGAGTGAAATTATTTTAACATTTGATTGTAAATCAAAATCAAATTCCTGAAATAAAAAACAAGACTACATTAGAAAGTTGTTTTTTATATAATTTTAAATACCTTTGAAAACTCTTTTGTCCACTTTTTAAAACTTGTTTTCTCATGTTCAACAAGCTCATACATAAAACTTCTAAAATAATAAAAAGATTTTAACATATGTCTTATTGTAATAATGAAAATTACTTGAAACTTTCTACGCGTTGATTATCTTTTGGCCAAATAATTGTGTCTAATGTCATTGTTAAATCAGTTTCATGTTCTGAACAAGTGTTTCGATCAATAATCACCGAATTTACTGCTCGATCATGATTTAACCAATAATTAATAGCTATGTTACTTCCAAATGAACGTACTTGATGGATCCTTAAACAAATTTAAAATAATCAATACTCTTTTTATTGAAAAGAGAGAATAAGCTGTTGTTGTTGTTGTTGTTTTACCATAATGCAGGAATATATAAACAGTCACCACTTGTCATGTTAATTTCGTAATAGCTAACATTTTTTAACATTGGAAACTGTTCGTAATCCGTTCTATATAAAAAAAATTTATTAAACATTTTCGAGTAGTAATAAACTTTTTCAGATTTACTTATCCACATCGATCGATGAGTATGAACCACGATTATTGTCAATAATCTGAAAAATAAAAGAAGAAATACAGTAACAACAAGTGTATGTCGTCCGCGTTATGAAAACACCTCAAACTTTACCTACGTCAAATACATTTGTATAATTGAAAGGATTAATCAATATAAATCGTTTTGTGCCACGTAAAACACAATTAATATTATCATAATCATCGGTATGAATGACAGACGAAGTACCACCGGAACTAATAAATTTATTGAAAAAAACTTTAGAAAAATCAAGGAATAATAAACATGCGTTATTGATTAACATACCTGTACCACATCATCTAAGAATGAAAATAAAAATACAAGAGAATTATAAGGATATTTTGAAATTTATTTAAGTATAATTCACTCACTGCTACTTGAAAGGATTCGACAGCCGGATGACATTGGAGAGACTTTGGAACAATGAAATATTTTCTAGTTAAAAATAAAACTTTTTCACAGCTTACGTATGATTAATACAAGAAAAACTGATAAATTATTCTATACCTCAATGGTCCCGGTACTTCATCTACCATGTACAATTCATCTTGAATGTATTGTTTTAAAAATTGTGAAAAAGTCATTTGTAATATATTTTGTTTTCGATCTTCTTTTTTTACTGTTTCAACACTAATTGGAGCATCATGTAAACCATCGACACTTTTTAATCGTTCATCTTTTTGCCACATGGACAAATATGGATCATTTGAAAGAACTTGACGAAATAGAACAGTTTGAGATTTCCTTAGATAATTATTAAAAAATATAAATGACGAAGGAAATTCATTTAATTCGTCAATTTTTAAAAATGGTCCAGCTGATCCAAACGCTTTTAAATGTCCTGCATGTTTTTTTGAAAATGATGAAGTATAAACATTGTGAAATAGAGTGAGAAACACAAAATAAATAAAGATACAATAAGAGTCCATATAAATAAAAATTAGGACTGTGTCTGATTGATTACGTCATTCTATCATTAATAGGAAGAATATCTAAAATATTTAAATAGAAAATATTGAATAATCAAGATGAGAACTATCTCAAGTTAACAGGTGAAAAAAGCAAACTCTGTGTCTAGTGCACAATACAATCATACTGCGTACGTAAAAAATTAAAAAGCAAGCAAATATGTGTCAAATATCAAAGTAGCAAATATGTGTCAGGTATCAAAGTATCGTTAAAGAGGTCGAATTATTTCACCCTCATTTACTGAACACAAAATATAAAACTCATTGTAGAACTCACGCAGAAAAAAACTTGAACACTAAGATTTTAATTAAAAATGGTAGTAAACATTAATCATATCATTGTTTACAAGCACAAAAAAATTCACATGTGCGCCATTAAAAATCTAAACAATATCATAATCTAAATCACAAATTAGTAATAAGATTGTTCAGAGAGCACGTGGTTAAATAAAATATGCCTCTGCAACATGTCAAATATAGTATAGACTAATAGGGAGACGATCTTACAGTCATACGTTAAAATATAAGATTTTCCGACAGCACTACTATTCTTTTTAGTCTTGTTTTTTCATCCGAAGGTTATCAAATCTGTTGTTTCGATTTCTATTTAAATTATGATAATTGTTAATGTCTGTTTATCAATTAATTCAGCTTGTTTATTGTTGAATCAAATATTGACAGTGATGAGAGGCGTAATAAGGGAAATTTGGTTATAAAAATATGATTATGTGCACAAAAGATGATTAATAATTCGACATTAATGGCACTACGAACGTAACATCAGTCATGTGATCAGTGTACACGCAATCGGTTAGAAAACAACTTAAATTTAATTGAAATAGACAAATCGTTCACTTACACATATCTGATATCATATTTCTCGATAAATAATATAATTTTTGTGTAGATGTGAAGCCAATTGACCATCTAGGTTAAAAACTAGCAAAACTCATAACTTTTCTCAAGCTAAATGTTTACTGTTATCTGAACAATTGACTTTTTGATTTGTCGTTAATATGAGTGATGGGTCCAACCGTTTATATTCGCTTACGATATTATTTAATGAGCTTTATGGAGTGCATTTCAAAACTAAATTTATTTTTATGATTTTGAACATGAATCCAGTAACAATGCAATATTTTCATGTCTGTTCATTGCTAATAGTATTAATAATTTTTGTCTAGACATAATGTAGACATGGCATGGTAGATGTATCTCAATAAACGTTCATTCTTTGAAAATATTACATTTAAAGTACATAAAAGAATGAATTACATGAAAAAACGTAAAAATATACCTTGAATTACAAATAATAAGTTGTTTTCGTTTATTTGTCGTGCTATTTCCATTGTCGACTTTCTTGGATAAATCTTTTGAAGTAGTTATTGTGTCTACGGATACAAGAGTTTTCACTGTAATATTAACATATTGTCTCGTTAACTAAAAGAAAAAGAAAAAGAAAGAAACTGTTAAATTACAACAAAAAAATCAGAACTAATTTTGATTACGCAGTTATAGAGAAAACTGACTGTTTCTTAACATCCATATCCGACTAATTTTTCTTAATTTGATTATGTGGAATGAAAAAAATTTAGAATAGAAAATCTAGTGTAGTGTTGAAATAAACAATTACAGACCATTTGTTTTAAATATTTTGAATATGACATCCTCAATCTGGAAGTGTACCTTTGTACTGAATAAACTTGTTTTTACAATTGCTTATTTAGCTACAGAAATGCTAAAGCCTCAGAAATTTGAACTAGAAAACTTTTTTTGATGTATGGGTTCAATCATTTTCACAATTAGAAGTTTTACGCTAAACAATATAACATTGTATTTGAAATTAGAAACAAAAAGATTTATGATGGTAATGATGGATGAGTGAACATTAAGAACTTTGTTTATTGTCGAACGGGTAAGTGCACGTTTCATACTTCAAAAGTACAAAGCAGTATCTAAATAATCACTAGGTTATAATCAACTTCAATGAAATCAATCACTTTTGAACAGCCGCCTTGCATCAATAAAACGTTTATAGTAAGATTTTGTATATGGACTGAAAGTCGACAATATTTTTATATTTGATGATTACCAATGATAACGACAGTGTTATTGAGAATAACTTTCTTTGAAATCAGTGGAAATGCTTGTTAACGGTTATTTTGAGAGATCTGTTATTTGTACTTATTCAGCAAACGTTGACTTTCTATATGCCGTTTATTGATTTCAAGTAGAAAAATTGAAATTAATCATGTGAAAAAATTTCTTTTTTATTGTTAAAACTGATGGATGGATAATTTCTCACTGTCAGTTTTAAAAAATGTTGAATAATTTCGTAACACGTGAAAATTATCATAGACTATGTTTCGTACGCTCGACAATAGTCTCAAACTAAAAAATGATTGCAATGATTTTAGATCTAAATATGCACAATTCTTTACTGTTAAAACGAAACGTCAAATGAACTAGAAATGTATAGACGATGAGTAACTTAAAGCGTTCGAATAAAATCAATCTGCTATACGACAGTATGTATGCATCGACGATAACTATGATTTCTGATTTATCGACATATACATTTTTGAAGTTATTTCTCAACTGCATATTATTTCAACCATCAAAGACCTTTTGTGTATAAAAAATTCTGCATAGTTTTTGTTTATATTACTAAAGAAATTGTTACAGAAAAAGTTTCAGAGTGATCGATTTCATTTAAATTAACTTACAGATATTCCACTATATACTTAAAACTATTCATATATTCTATGATTCTAGGTGGAACAGGTTTCTGCTAAAATTTGAGTGCGGAACGGTATAGTAGCGGTGCATTATATTGACAGGATCTCATCCGATACAATCGTGGAATAAACTAACGATTCATTTCGGCACATCTATGGTATATCGAAGAAGAAATCCATCAGTCCACTAGTTTTACTTCAATCATCCTGAAAATACTATTACTGTGCTCTACAAGGATTACAAGGACATTTACCTCTAATAAACAGTTCTCAACAGTTCTAAACAGCTCGACAATGCTGATTAGCGGAAAATAGTAAACAGGTCTGTGTATATGTGCACAGTGTTACCAAAAACCTGGATAATTAAACGTTCATGTTTTCGAGCAAGTAAATGTGTACAGAACATTGCGTTTAACCGATTCTTAAATTTTTATGTTAAGCAGTCAGTTTTCAGTTGATCTATGTATTTTTGAATGTTAGCCACCACTGACACGGCAATAACTCTTCTCGAAGATCACTACTAAAAAAATTCACGTAGGAAACCGACTTATTTTTCAGGGAGAATATAAAGGCGACTATAAGTTTCTGATCACAAAACGGGATATGTACGAGATTGTAGAGGAAGTCTTGCTCTATCCAGTGATGTATACATTGTCGAATCGTAATGTTCATTATCAGAGGAAATTAAAGGTAACCCCGCTTTTTTCAGACTTTTTCAGAAATTTTTTTATTTTTCAGTTAAATGTTGTGCATTATAGAGTAAAGTGTCCTCTACAAAATAAGATCACTCCCAGCTCTCCAGGGCCTCCCGTTGAGGAGAAACGATATTTTTAAAGTTTGTTACTTTACGCTGATAAAACCCTATTGTTTTCTCTTCCATTCAGTACTTGATAAACTTTTGAAACAGTCATTCTTGTAGAGTAAAGATTTCTCTACGAAATGAGATGTCTCCCACCTTTCCACCATGTTTTCTGATAGCGTTACTTCCATTCATTTTGGACGTTATATCACAACTGTGACTTTTTCACAGGCTGCC